AACAAACTGATGGAGCTAAGAGTTGATAAGTGTGATGATGCTACCACTTTAAGAAGTTAATTTGTCCTTTTTTTTGAAGGGAGGTTATAAGGCAGAGGTGCCAAGCTGTCTCTAAGAAAGTAAACAATTTGTGAGGCCTTAGGGTGTTTTTTTTTAAAGTTGGAACAATGAAAGCAGCCTGGGTGTGGCCAGCTCTCACAGACCAGCCTTTCTAGTTTTTTTTTCATTTTTTAGGCTTAGTTTTGAGCAGAAGCCTTTGGGGTCTCAAAAGAGTTGCAAGCTTCATTGAATGTCTCCTAACTGCTACTTTCTCTGAATTTTCTCTTGATGCTTTTTTTTCCCTCCTGGATTGGAGAACTGCATGTGAGAATCTGTGTCTGAATTTACCTTTATGCCAAAGGGTGTGTTTATGGGATGTTACTATATTGGAGAGGTTCATTAGTAATGGGTACTGTATCTATGATTCGGTTAAGTTTTCCAATAGTTAAGTTATTCTCATTTGTATTTTGACTATAGTGTTTAAATAAATTGTGTTTTGCTTAACGTCATATAGTTTGACCGGTCACATTGCATCTGGAACACGGCACCTCTTCAAAATAAGAAAAAGTTAGGGTCTAAGCTACCTTCTTAAAATATATTGGGGGGTGGTCTGGTCTGATCTATAACAATAAGTCTCCAGTTCCTGATGACTTCATCCTAGGGTATCGAAAGAAGTGACTACTGAGGTAATAGCTGTCATAGAGTCATGCAGCATAGAAACAGGCCCTTCAGCCCACCATATCTCTGCTGAGCTACAAACACCAACCTAAGCTAATCCCATTTACCTGTACTCAGCCCATAGCCTACAGTGCCATGGCATTTTAAGTGCTCGCGATGGTGACAATTTTTTAAAAATTTCACTAGATTCTGAAAAGATTAGACTGAAAAGTAACAAATACAAACCCTCAATACATGAAGGGAGGAAGACAAAAAGCAGAAAACCATAGGCAAGTTATCTTACTGTCTATTGTGAAGAAGGTATTGTGAAGAAGAGATTTCAGGAGGGAATTCCAGAACTACAGGCAGGTGAAGCCACCAAATTGGAACCATAAAGTAAGTAAAGTAGCCATAGTCCTACTCTCTCATTAGAGAGAGACAGATGACTGATTCAAATCAATCATTAAGGGGGATATAATTGGGCACATGGAAGAACAGAAATTAATCAGGAAGGATCAGCATTGTTATATGAAGGGGAAATGATATTTAGCTAATGCATTAGAATTTTTTGAAGGATTATCATGGACTGGGCATGAAGGAGAGCATGTGGACAATACTGTACTTGGTTTTCCAGGAGGTATTTGACATGGTGTCACATAAAAGGTTAAATACTAAATGAAAACTGAAAGAACTGTGGATGCTGTAAATCAGGAACAAAAATAGAAGTTGCTGGAAAAGCTCAGCAAGTCTGGCAGCATCTGTGAAGAAAAATCAGAGTCAACATTTTGGGTTAGGTGACCCTTCTGATGCAGGATCACTGGACCCAAAATGTTAACTGATTTTTCTTCACAGATGCTGCCAGACTTGCTGAGCTTTTCCAGCAACTTCTGTTTTTGTTCCACATAAAAGGTTATTGCACAAAATAGAAGTTTATGATAACATATTAGAATGGATGGAAGATCAGCTGGCTAGTTGAAAGCAGCGAGCATGCCAAAAGAGGTCTTTTTCCTCATGGCAGCAGATGGTGAACGGATGACTGTGCTGGGCCCTCAACTTTTTACAATTTATATCAATGACTTAGATGTGGGAATCAAAGGCATGGTGGCTATATTTAGAGGCAACATAAAAATAGACAGGGAAATATGAACCGAAGATGACATAACAAGGGCAAAGACCACTATAAGCGTGTTGGGAAAATATCTGAAAGATGACGTAAAACATTGGAAAATGTGAAGTTGTTCACTTGGTAAGAAGTATAAAGACACAAAATATTAATTAAATGGAGAACACAGATTCCGAAGTGGAGAGGTATTTCAGTGCCTGGTCACAAAAGGTTAGTGTGCAGTTGCAGCAAGTGATTCTGAAGGCTAGTGGAATGCTATGATTTATTACAAGAGCAATTGAACATAAAAGTAGGGAGATTATGGTTCAGTTACATAGGGCATTGGTGAGACTACATCTCTATTAATACTATGCGCGGTTCTGGTTTCCTTATTTCAGTAAGGATGTAAATAAGGTGGTTTACTGGATTGATACCTGGAACCAGCGCATTGTCTTCTAAGGAACATTTGGACAGGCTGAGCTTATTTATATTGAGGGAGTGGTGACTTGATGAAAATATGTAAGAACCAAAATGGTGTTGACAAGGTTATTGGGGGTACATAAGAAGATGGGATTCAGAACCAAACAGACCAGCTATGACTTTCTTTTTCTTTATTCATTCATGGGATGAGGGCATCATCAGCTCAGTAGCATTTAGTGCCCATCCATAATTGCCCAGAGGCTATCCACATTAATAGCTATCCACATTGCTATGGGCGTGGAGTCACATGTAGGCTAGAGCAGGTAAGGATGACAGCTTCCTTCCCTGACAGATACTAGTGAACCAGATGGGCTTTTCCCCAACAATCGATTCATTGTCATCATTAGATTCTTAATTCCAGATTTTTTTAATTGAAATCAAATTCTACCGTCTACCACGGTGGGTTTCGAACCCAGGTCCCCAGAAAGTTATGAGTCTCTCGATTAACAGCCTAGTGATAATACCACTCCCCTTTACTGAATGGCAGAACAGGCTCAATGGGCCAAATGGTCTACTTCTGTTCCTAATTGGTATGTTTGTCTGTGTAGCCTGAGAGGGCTGGAAGCAGGTTTGGTCATAGCTCACAAAGTAACTTCCCCAGGTTTCAATTGAATAAGCACTTGAAGAGGAAAAAAAAAACTGCAAGGTCACAGGGAAAGGGTTGGAAGTGGTAAGAATGAGATAACTCTTTTCCAGAGTCAACAGTAGCTTGACAGGCCAAATGTTGTCTCTCTGTGCTGTAACCCCATTGTAATTCATGTGGTTCGCTCAGTTGACTAGAGAGCTGGCTAACAATGTTGAAGTTCTTAAAGTTTGAAAACACCTGCCAATAGATTTAAGAACAGCTTCTTCCCTGCTGTCATCAGACTTGTGAATGGACTTTTTATATATCAGAGTTGATCTTTCTCTGCACCTTCTCTGTAGCTGTAACACTATATTCTGCATTCTGTTCTATTACCCTGATCGACTTATGTAAGGTATGATCTGTCTGGAGAGCACGCAAAACAATAACTTTCACTGTATCTCTTTACCTGGAATTAAAAGTCTAATGATGACCATGAATCCATTGTCGATTGTTGGAAAAACCCATCTGGTTCACTCATGTCCTTTAGGGAAGGAAACTGCCATCCTTACCTGGTCTGACCTACATGTGACTCCAGACCCACAGAGATGTGACTGACTCTTAACTGCCCTCTGGGCAACTAGGGATGGGCAACAAATGCTAGCCTAGCCAGTGAGGGCCTCATCCCGCAAATGAATAATAAAAGAAAATGTTGGTACATGTGACAATAACAAATCAAAGATACCAACAGTATGGGCTCAGTTCACACACGGGCTGGGGTTACCATGCAGGTTCAGTTATCTGGGATGTGGTGATCCTTACGTTAAACTACCACCAGTTCTGTGTCTTTAATGAGAAGGCAGATCTGGGGCAACTCACTTTATGATTCTAATTTGCTGGTTTCAGCTGCCAATAGGCTCTGGAATTCCCTCTCATAATTTCTACACCTCCTTTTCCTCCTCCAAGACTCTCCTTAACATCTGCCTCCCGCTGCCTGGATATCTGATTACCATCCGCTTTCAGATGAAGCTCAGGGGGACTGATTGCAACAACAAACGTGCTGGATAAAATCAATGCGACCACCCCTCTAGTAAATGGGAAGATATCCAAAAGGAAATAGGGAGAATTCATTAATTTACTGCCCAGCCAGAGACAAGAATTTACCAGAATAATTCAGTTATAAGTCACAAGAGAAAAAGGCCAACAGGAGATCTGATAGACAGTTTCACTATCATGAGTGAGCAAGACAGAAGACAGAGCTAGATGGAGGAGCGTCTGCCACGTGTAAAGGGAGGTGATGGCTTCGTGGAATTATCACTAGACTATTAATCTGGAGATCCACGTATTGTTATGGGGGCCTGGGTTCGAATCCTACCCTGGCAGATGGTGGAATTTGAATTCAACAAGTAACTATTGCTGATTATCAGGAAAACCCCATCTGGTTCACTAGCCCCCTTCAGGGAAGGAAACTGCCATCCTCACCTGGTCTGGCCTACATGTGATGCCAGACCCACAGCGATGTTGTTGACTCTTAACTGCCCTCTGGGCAATTAGGGATGGGCAATAAATGCTGGCCTAGCCAGCGACGCCCTCATCCTGTGAATGGATAAATAAAAAGAAAGAGAGGGGTGTCGATTTAAAGGGTGATGTGAGGAAAAAAAAAGTCTTTTCACAGCGTTTAGACTCTGGAATGCCTGGAAATGTGGAGGGGGCAGTTTCAATTCAGGGTAATGTTTGATTATTTGTATAGAAAGGGTGTGCAGGGCTAAGGGGAGACAACAGGAGATTGGCACTCACTAATAGAACCCTTGCAGGCATGATGGGCTGAATGGCCTCTTTCTGGGCTATAACGATTCTGTGAAGTTGGTGCGCTTTGGTTTTCTGTTCAGTTCCCGATACTAACTCACAACAGTTTACAATAGCATGTTGCTTTGAGTTTAAGTTTAATATTAGCACTGAACATGACACAATTATCTGTTATATTAAAATAACTTATAATACATTAGACAACAGCAATAGGAAATTAAACAATGAACACACAAATACAAATAATTACACATTTGTTCTTTCGTTATCTTTTTCCCTGCCTTTCTCGCAGTTGTTTCCCCTCTTCCCCAACTCCGTCCCCACACCCACCTCCACCCACCAACTTCTCCACACAACTTTAGTTGAGTTGGCAAAGTTTTTGAAGAAGTTCCTGAGTCTGTCAATTTCACGAGCATCCTCCGAGTCTGTCAAACGTTCAAGTCGAGTTGAGACGGAATAAAAAAAAAACGAGAGATGGCAGAGATTCCCAGGAAACTCCAAAAAAAAACGTGATTCTGCCTCACTAGAGGAAGGGAGTTTGTCCCTGTAAGTGTTGCAAACTTCCGCAGCAGTGCAGAAGTGTAGGTTCCAACAGCTTCTTTGGCTGAACTGTGCCCTCTCATTTAAGTTGAAGCGTTCCCACTCTGTTGTGTGTGTGTGTGTGTGTGTGTGTGTGTGTGCGCGCGTGTGTGTGTGTGTGTGTGGGTGTGTGTGTGTGTGGGTGTGTTTTCTGAGTTCGTATCTCCTGTGACAAGTGTGCTGCCGGTTTATTTGCACACGCTGACCCACTCTGTCACTCGGCACTCCTCACATGCCACATAGCAGCACCAATGAAACTTGCAGCTGCACCTCTCCGTGCGCGTCTGTCGCAGGATGTTGTGACCCCGGCCACAGCACAGGCTCTCGCAGTTGTCCAGGCCGGGGCTGGTCTTGTTGCAGATCCGCCCTCGTGTGCCCGCTGAGTCCAGACCGGGCTCGCTCTCGCAGAAATTGGGGGATTCCTCGAAGAAGACCAGCTCTCCGGCATTGGATTTCCTCCGGTGTGGGTGGTGGTGGTGGTGGTGGTGTTGTTGTTGGTGTTGGGGTTGGGGTTGGCTTTGCTCGACCTGCCCCGTGTTGCGGTTGTGGGCTTTGATCAGGGTGGCGTTGTAGAACTTGCGCTTCAGCATGCTGCCCACCATCCTGAATTCGGGGGTCACCTGCCAGCACGTTTTCAGCTGGCAGCTCCCAGATGTGCCGTGGCACTTGCATTTCCTCTTCATGTTGTCTGCGATCATCTGGGGGTAACAGAAACACAGGGAGACAAAAGAAAGAGGGGTTCAGACCAGGCCAGATCTCCCACATTCAGGGACGACAAGGAACATAGGAGCAGAAATAGGCCATTCAGCTCATTCAGCCTGCTCCACCATTTGATACAATCAAAATACAATCAAACACTTCACACCATTAGAGCATAAGACTTAGGACCAGAAATGTACCATTTAGGCCACTGCTTCTTGAGTGTTGTTGGAGCAAGTGGGGAGTATTCCATCACGCTCCTAATGTGCTTTATAGATGGTGGACAAGCTTTGGGGAGTCAGGAGTGAGTTACTCGCTGCAGGATTCCCAGCCTCTGACCTGCTCCTGCAGCCACTGTGTGTATATGGTGAGTCCAGTTGAGTTTCTCTGCCTTGTAATGCAATCATGGTTGATCAAAAGCTCCAATTTAAGTTTTCAAGTTTGATATAGTTCTTAGAGCTAAAGGGATCAAAGGGTAAAGGGTGAAAGTGGGAACAGGGGACTGAGTTGGATGATCAGCCATGATCATATTGAAAGACGTGGCATGCTCAAAGGGCTGAAAGCCTTACTATTGCTCCTTTTTTTTAATGTTTCTGTGTTTACCAAAACTGTCCCCATAACCCTTTACACCATTGGTAAGTCATAAAACAATCAATTTCATAGCATACAAGGCTACAGGCCAACTCCTGGACAACAGGATTGGAATACATAGATGCTTGATGACCAGTGTAGGCACAATGGGCTTTCTCTATGCTGTAAAAACTCTCTGCCTCTCTATGACTCTAAAACGTTGAAGTAAACAAAAACAGAAATTGCTGGAGAAACTCAACAGTTTTGGCAGCATCTGTGAAGAGAGAAACAGAGTTAACATTTTGGGTCCAAAGACCATTCGTCAGGACTGAAGAACCTAAAAAGCTGAATACTTCTTTTTTATTTAACCTTAGACTCTGATTAAATGAACTATGCACACAATAATTCACAGACACTGATTATATAACAATGTAAAACTAACAGCAATGTAGCTGCATGATGTCTTTAATATTATCAAACACTCCAAAGCATTCCACGACTAAATATAAGATCATGGCTGATCTTTTCGTGGACTCAGCTCCACTTACCCGCCCACTCACCATAACCCTTAATTCCTTTACTGTTCAAAAATTTATCTATCTTTGCCTCAAAAATATTCAATGAGGTAACCTCAACTGCTTCACTGGGCAGGGAATTCCACAGATTCACAACCCTTTGGGTGAAGAAGTTCCTCCTGACCTCAGTCCTACATCTGCTCCCTCTTACCTTCAGGTTATGCCCCCAGATTCTATACCCACCAGTGGAAACAACCTTCCGGTTTCTATCATATCTATTCCCTTCATAATTTCATATGTTTCTATAAAATAAGGACACTGTGATGCTAATTTACAAGACTAACAATTTCAAGGCATGAGGCCAAATGTCACAACAAGTGTGTCTTTTAAATTTACTTAATTGATTAAATCTGGATTTAAAAACTGGTTTTATAATCTGTTACGGTGACCATTAAAATACAGAGTTAAAAACTCATGTCTGTGTTGGAAAGAAATCTGCCATCCTGCTCCTTTACATTATACCCCCTGCTTATTGACCTGTCTATTAGGGGAAACGTTTCTCCCTATCTACCGTGTCTACACCCCTCAGAACTTTGTACACTTCAATCAGATCCTCCCTCAGCCTTTTTTGTTCTAAGGAAAATGACCTCAGCCTATCTAGTCTCTATTCCTGCTCCATCCATGGCAACATTGTGGTGAATCTCCTCTGCTCCCCATCCAGTGCATTCATATCATCGTTGGGAATTAAGAAGTGCAGGGCCTGATCTTGGTGGAGGTTGTTTCAAGGTTCTGGTATGATTCTGTAAAGCAGTACCTATGGAAAACAGAATAGTAGGCCAATGCAGCCACTAATAGTGTTTCTTGAGAGACTATCAAATTTTAAAAGGGAGGATAGTCATGTGGATAATGCTGCTAGACCAGTAATTCAGAGTCCCTGGGTAATTCTCTGAGAACATGGGTTCAGATCCTACCATATCAACTGCTGGAATTTCAATTCATTTAACAAATCTGGAAAGTTGGCATATCTGTAAAGGCTCTAACCAATTTTTATCGATGCACCATGGGAAGTATTCTATCCAGATGCATTATGGCCTGGTATGGCAACTGAACTGCCCAGGACTGTAAGACACTACAGAGAGCTGCGAACATAACCCAGTCCATTAAGCAAGCCAACCTATCATCCACTGACTCCGTTTACACTTCTCTCTGCCTCGCAAGGGCAGCCAACATAATCAAAAACCCCTCCCACCCTGGTTATAGAAGATACAAAAGCTTAAACACATGTACAAACAGATTCAAGAACAGCTTCTTCCCCGCTGTTATTAGACTTCTGAATGGACCTCTCAAATTTCAAATTTAATGTTGACCTTGCTCTTTGTGCACCTTCTCTGCAGCAGTAACATTGTATTCCTCACCCTGTTCTATTACCCTAATGCACTTTGTATGATAAGGTCTGCCTGTACTGTAAGCAAAATAAACCTTTTCACTGTACCTAGGTACATGTGACAATAATAAATTAAACCAAATCAATATAATTAAGCTAATCATAGCAATGGTGACCATAAAACTATCATGTCTTATTGCAAAAACCCACCCAGTTCAGCAATGCCCTTTAAGGAAGGAAATCTGCCATCCTTGCCAACGTTGTCAACATGTGACTCCAGACCCACTGCAATGTGGTTGACTCTTAACCGCCCTCTGCAAATTCCCAGAAAGGCCCTCAGTCCAAAGGAATTTAGGGATGGGCAACAAATTCTGGACTTGCCATAGATACCCACATCCCACAAAATAAAAATATTTGGTGCAGAACTCTGTGGTATTTTCTCAGGTACACCTTTACTGTGTTTGCCACCTGTACCTAGATGTAGTATTGGGTAAGGATTGTTTGAGATTGTTCACTGTCACTAATCCACCTTTGTCTTTGCTTTGTCTTGGGTCCGTCTAGTGATTAGTTGGGGAGGATACACTACTATAGAATATCTATAGAAGAGATGCTGTTTATAGATAGCAAGAAGGATGATTACATGGTAACAATAAGTACAACTACATTTGGCCAGTCATACACACTTGGGCCTTAAGACTGTGTGTGATATCAGTAGAACGGGTGGAGCCAATGTAACATGAACATTTACCCCTTCAGAACCAGTTCCTTATCCAACAAACCCCTGTGGGAATTCAGTGTTGGTAATCATAATTGAGTCTCTGTTACTTTTCCTTTGACATCTTTGTACCTGTTTTAAGTTACTTCCTCCCTCCTAGAAAGATGTTTACAATCCTTCTTCATCTCCAACATCTATTTACAACATGCTCATGCACACTGTCCATTTTCATGGCACTGCTAAGACCACAATCATAGGATATAGGAGCAGAAGTAGACCCTTCAAGGCTGCTCCACCATTCAATGAAAATATGTCTGATCTGATAATCCTCAATTCCACCTTTCTGTTTTATCCCCATTACCCTTGATTAAAAATCTGTCAATCTCAACCTTCAATATACATGATAACCCAGCATTGACAGCTCGCTGCTGCAATGAACACAAATTTACACCCTCCTAAAAAAAGAATTTCTCCTCAGCTCAACTATGCTTTTATTCGCAAAAGTTCCTTATCTCCCTCCCATCCCAAATTCACACCAAGGCTGTGATCCCGAAATGGCTTGGTAAAAAGTGAAAGCACCAGGAGAAAGCGGAATCAGTTCCGAAAGACGTGTGAGCATTGGCTTTGTTTGTAAACTACATGTGAAGGAGACTCTCTATAGAATGCTTCCTTTACGCAATTACTCCATGTTAAGGTGAGGAAGTGAGATCCTGGCAATGTGACATGACTAGATTCATTCTAGTTATAACATAGAAAGTACAGCACAAGAACAAATTAAACTAATCCCTTCTGCCTGTCCATTGTCCATATCCCTCCATTCCTTGCTTATTCATGCGCTTATCTAAAAGTCACTTAAATGTCCCTATCGTATCTGCCTTCACCACTACCCCTGGCAGCACATTCCAGGTACCTACCATTCTCTGTGTAAAGCATTTTGCCTCTCACATCTCCTTTGAACTTTCCTTCTCTTACCTTAAATGCATGTTGTCTTTTATTAGACATTTCAACTCTAGGAAAAAGCTTCTGACTGTCAACCCTATCTATGCCTCTCACAATTTTATAGGATTCCATCAAGTCTCCCTTTAGCCTCCAGAGAAAACAAGCCGAGTTTTTCTAGCCTCTCCTTATAGTTCATTCCCTCTAATCCAGGCAGCCTTCTAGTAAACCCCTTCTGCAACATCTCCAAAGCCTCCACATCCTTCCTGTAGTGTGGCAACCAGAACTGAATGCAATTCTAGGGACGAGGAGCTTTGGTTGTGAAGATGGAGAAGTTGGATCTGTTTTCCTTGAAGAAGACAATGCTGACTGGAAATCTGGTTGAGATGTTCAAAATCATGAGTGATCTGGGCAGAGTAGGCTTGGAGGAACTGTTCCCACGTGGGAAAACGTTTGAAAATGAGATGGCGCAGATGTTAGCTAATTGGCAATGTAAGTAAAAGTGATATGAGAAAAGCCACCTTTAGCAGTGAGTGGTTAGGGATCTGGAATGTACTGCCTGAGAGTGTGGTGGAGGCAGGTCAATCAAGGCATTCAGAAGGGAATTGCTACTTGAAAAAGAACAGCGTTGAGTGTTCAGGGGAGAAAGTGGAGAATGGCAATCCGTGAGTTCTTCATTTGGGGAGCCAGTACATGATAGGCCAAATTACCACAATTGAATGCTTCCATGCTTTGACCTTGTTTCAAAGAATCTAAAACCTCCCCAAACTTCTTTGACACCACACAAACAAACACACAATTGCTAATGCTCTAACCTTATTAGGAAGACTTAGGTTCCCTGATGAATCAAGGTTATTGGGAGTCTAAAATGGCGTGTGA